ATGTCATAAAGGCTTAGTCATGTCTCTTGACCAAGCAATGAGCTGGTGCCCTGACACCCACGGTCCAAGGTCATTAGGTTCTAACCATGAAGCTTTACCTGTTCCAAATGTACACACAACATGCACACAATCATGCCTGTCGGCTGCCAATCACCCCTTACTTTATAAACCCCCTGTCAATCACTCTGTTTGTGAACAAACATTGAGGTATTGATTGATGTACAACTCACTACTCTCTGATTTGCTCATTGCCTGTTTGGTTATTCAATCATCAACAATTGTTGGATTGTGTTGCCCTCACAGCAGTCCAGCCAGGGCAGACAACAGCCAGGAGGTGGGGCAAGGGGTGAGGGCAGGCAGGGCAGGCTAGCCAGTAGTGAGGGCAAGGGAGACAGGGAGCAGGAGGTAGAAGCCATCCAGGAAGGGGGGCAAGGGTGGGGAGGATGAGCAAGCAGAGGGAAGATCATGGTCAGAGAGAGAGAGAGGGGAAGGCCGGGGGACGGGAGCAAAGGTTTTAAAACGTGCCATTGACCCCCAGCTTGCGCCACTCGGGCGGGTCCCCTGGAATACCACCTGCCGATCACCGGCAATCCACAAAGCACGCACCCCAAATTCCGGGGTTTGTTATTGCTTCTGGAACCTTCTGCCGGGCGATTGGCCAGACCGATTGAGCATTTTTTGGGTCAAGTTTTTTCAGCGGGGCTCGGCATTATCGGGTGTTTGTTGCCCGCCGATCGAGCCTCGCCCCGGCACATGCATGAGGATGTGTCGGCGGGCGAATGTGCATTGCCGGCCGGCACGCCTTTGGCAGGCCTTCAGCATGGCTTCCGGATGCCAGTTCAATTGCTGCCGGCGCAGAACATCACTTCCCTCCGCCATGAACATCGGGCCGAGGCCCCCTTGCTCCAGACCACTGGGCGGGCATGTTAGCCATGCGTGTGTACTGCCAGACATCAGGGAATGAATTCCTTGTGGTACATTGTAGCTGTATGCGTCAGCCATATGCTGGCGAAGATATACGAATTTAGGGCCAGAACTCAGCGCCGGGGGAAAAGTTTGAGATCTCGCCGGCACTTACGACGGGCAGCGGGCAGATTGGCTTCCGCGCCGGTGCTTGCCACATGAGGTAAACAAGCAAGCCATGCCCTTCCGGCTTGCTGTTTGGTCCACTCCTATGCCTGCTTCTGCTACTCTATCTCCTCGATCCACCAAACCCTCTGGCTCCAGCTCCTGCTGAGTGCGCTTGACAATTGCGCCGGTCCTTCACCCAGCCCCTGCCCACCAGGCCAGCAACAGAAACCGGGCGTGCACTACGCTGGCCGCATGATTGCAGCAACGGTGAGCGCACCATGGAGCTACAGGCGAGCCAGACCAGGCGGGGGGCCCGACACATGGTATCTACACCATAGCCGACCTCGACCAGCGCACTCAGCAGGTTGATGATGCGTGCCGAGAGCGCTTTGCTGGTATGCCTGCCTGGTTCCTTTCTCCAGTGTCTCACGCTCGGCCAGCGGATCCACAGGATGCTGCTGATGCTCAATACCTCCAGGGCGAATGGGCCGATACGGAGGCCGATGGAGGGAATGCTGGAGTGGGCAGGTGGGAGGATGTGGCTTTGGAGGAAGAAGATGCTGTCCTCCAAGCCTGGGAGGAGGTAAGGTGCATGCCAGGTCCGCCTGTCTTCATGCCAGCTGGTATAACCGGTTCTCCAGAGGGCTGAGGCGTCGTCACGCTACCGGTCGGGGAAGCTATGCACAACGGCGTGGTCAGCACCACGCTGCCTGGGAACGTCTGTTGCCAGAACTGGCCCGCGACCTGCTGCACTGGCAGCATGCCAGTCACAACGCACCACAGCCCGAACCTCAACAGCACGAGTTCCTTCCCGCCGAATCTGGCTTGCTTCTGCGGGTGATTGACTGGCAAGGTGCTCATCCCACACCAAGCATGGTTGACGCACTGGCTGACGGACCGGCAGGTATTCGCCTGCAACCATTCCAGCCAGACACAGCAGCTGGGGCGCAACACCCAATCCGGGTGATTGTCCGTGCAGGCTACCTGCCCTGCACTCCTGAACTGCCAAGGCTGGCTCTCTCGCTTCACGTGCTGGAGGTTTACCACCATGCACAATTGTGAGCGTATGTCTCGCATGAGGCTTGGGCCTGCGTTTTGTGTGATCTCCATGGTGTGGGTGAAGGTTTCTCCAACTGGCATGTGTGCCTGCTGACCAGCCAGCAGGTTGTATACCTGTGCAGCTTCCGCCAGCAGCTCTCGCAGGCATATGATGTGTACATCCGGCTCTTGCAGCTAGTGGACAAGCTTCTGGCAGTGGCATTCAGGGAAGATGGGCCCGATTGGCGTGCACTCCACTCTTGTCCTGCTTGCCAGTACAAGGTACGTCATGTAACCCTCACCATCTGGAAGGCATTCTCACGGGCAGCAGCTAGAGGGCGAGCCAGCCCAGCTGCACACCATGCTTCTGTGCGGCGACGGAAATAACTCCTCCAAGTGGTTTGAGCAAGCTGGCCATCAAGACGACAGGATATTTGAAACCGACTATGTCATTCCAGCTGCTAGGGTCGAGCTCTACGCCAGACCCCCCTGGCTTCAAGGGCACGATAAGTTCCCCGGCCCCACTAGCGGGCTGAAGGAAGCCGGCAAGGAAGCCGGTGGTCCTGGCGGCGTGCACGAAGAGCCGGAGCCGGAACAGCTCGCAGACTGTGCTTCGAAGTGGAAGGCTGCCCAGGCGAAGGAGGACGCCGGCTCCTTTTGCCAGGCATTCGCCGAAACCGGTCATTTCCTGGTCGTCTGCCGGCATGCCTTCATCCTGTGGTCAGTGGACATGATCAAGAGCGGGGAATTGTACGTGCCCGCCTTCTTGCTGGAAAGGACTGGCTAGCTAACAGCTTGCAGATCGAGATACTCGCTCACCGTGCTCGACAAGTGCATCAAGACCTTCGGTGTGGGCCTCGCATTTGGTTATGACATTGGCTGTACGCATTCTGTCACCATTCAGCAAAGCCCGCTTGGGGCGCAGGCTGCGGCAGCCAGCTTGCGGTTTTTCGTGGGTGCCTTTCATGGCTATGCTCACAACCGACGGTGTCAGCTGGCTTTCCACCCTTGCCTGCTTGCGACTGCCGGCCTAGAAGACTTCGAGACCTGTGAGTGGGTCTTCGCCAAACAAAACTTGACGGCACAACAAAACTTGACGGCACACCTCTTCCGGCATGCATCCCGGTACCATCGCCACCAGACAATGCATCTCTTCTACCAGCGTTGGGACCGGGATTGTCGCACACTTTTATGTGAGTATGGTGCTTGCCTCGTGGCTGGTCCTATCCCTGGCTGATTGTTCCCAGCCAATTTCTTATACAATAACTACAAGCAGGCGTTGGATCTGATCCAGCGGTCATACCCGGTTGTCCAGAGCATGCTGTCTCAACTCGGGCTCACCACCATGGATCTTGCTCGTTTCCTGCAGGAGGAGTGGGCGTTCTTCGACAGCCTACAGGAGGAGCCGGCAGAAGACCAGCTGGCCTTTTGCTACTTGGAAACCCTGCACCTGCTGCATGCCGAACGGTCGGTTGAGCCATACAGCCTTGCGCACCAGCCTGCTAACTACCCGTAGACACAAGCTGGACCACATGCAATACCACGAGTTCGTGGTTGTTATGCCTGCTAGCTGGCCAGCTACCAGCGATAACACCCGCCAGAAGATGCTGGAGCGGGACTACAACCGCGTACTGCGGGCTGTCCATGAATACGAAGCACTCGCCGCACGCTACGAGCTGGAACTACAAACTGAGCCCTGGACTCCAGAGCACCCCTCCTGGCAGAAGTACGAAGCTGCCTGTGTCCTTCGGGAGTACCACACGGCGCTAGATGAGCTGGAAAGTCTTGTGGTCCAGCATATTTTCGAGCTAGAGAAGCTCAGCATACGTGGCACAGGTGAGGACATTATCTAGACCGTGGCAGGCAGTTCTGACCGCAGGCAGGATATGCCATGCGAACTGCAATAGCCTGCACTCTGAACACTCGAAGCAAGGCGATCAAGGCTTCCATAGCACGGTACAACAAGCTAGCTCTTAGCCTCCAGCCCCCTCGCCCGACACTGAAGCCAGCAGAAGTGCTGGACTATGCTCTGCTGGCCGACTTCTCCCTTCTGCGTCACGCTCGAGAAGACATCCGCCAGCGACCTTGGGCCAACCCGCGCGTGCGCGAGCTCATTCGCAAATGGCAGCTAGTACAGTGCGCGGAACACGAGCTGGAGCGCTTGAATATCGAGATTCGTCGCGTGAACACACAGCTCCACAACGAGCCTGCTCGATTGCTCGCTGGGATTCCGTGTGCGGAAGCTGCCGGGGATCGAGTGCTGGCCAGTGTCATGCGGGACTATGTCGCTCGGCAATTGCGCATAAACACTCGAATGCAGGCCCGCATGCAGGAGATTCTGCAGTTGCCCGGGTTTTGTGGCTGAGAAGACATTGGCTCGCATTCTGGGACCAGCTTCCCAGCAAGCTGTGCTGGCCAGCCGATCGGACCTACTGGCGGATTGGGATGGACATCCCACGGGGGAGGCTGGGGATCCTGATGATGTTGATGATGACGTCGCGCAGGAATGGGATGGAGTCGTGCAGGCATTGTCTTCGCTGGACATCCAGCAATAGTTAGCCTGCTACAATGTACCACAACAACAAATGCCGGCCTACAGCCAGTAGCAAGCTCTAGTCTGATTTTCGTGCATGGTAGAGCTCGCACTTCGTCGCCGGCTCACCTTTGCTGGTGCACGTACGGGTAACCCGGCTTGGCACTCTTTTGTACTCTTTCATATGCAAACAATGATGTATAGCAGTAGCATGCTCTGGCTGTTCGCCAGCCCACTTACAGGCATGACATAGCTGGATCCTTCAGCCAGACTGCAATTCCGTCCAGGGAAGCAACCGACCTTCTAGCCAGTCAGAAGTTGTGGAGAAGGTAGCAAGCAGCTACCCTCCAGCCTTCTCAGGCTGACCTGCTAACCGTATCCATATTTGCGAGCTGTACTGGCCGGTATGATGTCGACCGCCGTGCTGGGCCAGACCGAAATGCGGGGTAGGAACCGTGATCTGGTATCCCGGAGCCGTGATCGGCCTGCCCTACCGGCAGTTGGCCAAGAACAAAATGCGGGGTCACTTGTCTCCGGCTGCCTGTCAGCGTGCCGCAATTGACGGCATGATGTAGCCAGGCGAGATGAGACAGCCCAACATTCTGATGTGCCAGCCGGCCACCACACATCTGGTTTCAGGGACAAAGCCCGTCTGCTGGACCCTTCGCGGACAGACATCACTCCAGAATTCCCTCTAATTAGAGGCGTTGCCAGAGTCCGTCCCTGGCTCTAACTAGTGGCTAAAGCTGTGCGACACAAGTGATTATAATAATAATCAAGCTCTCATTTCACCCCGATTCAGCCTTCTATCCGCCTATCCACATTCTAGACTGTTATCCCTCAGAGCTTCTTCAAATTGTGTATCCGCCTTGGCGTCACCCTCCGCAAGAAGGCGACATGACTGTACAGAGTCCCTTAACAGAACTTTTCCGCAGCAAACGTTGTCCTCCAGGGCAGACGACCACCATCGCGCACCATGTGTTCTGTTCAACGACTTCTGTGTACCTGACTACAATACGATGACTATCTGTGATAAGGAACGGAGAGATCATGGATGGAAGATGTTATGCGTGGTCATCTTTCTGATTGTCGACTTCCTACCACGTTACATCTGATAGACTCTGCGGAATAGCTGTAGCGGTCAATGTGCTGGTGCACGGCCCTTTATTGATCGGTGCTCGCCGAATCTTGTGGCGGCGGGTATCTACAGCTGTCGAGTGGGGAAGTGATGGCTCTGGAGCCACATTAGCACGTTGTCTCTATATTATGGATACGTCAGTGTCCGAAGACATCCAAAAAGATCCGGTCAACCCCGCAGTTCAGATCTCAATGTTCAGCTATTATTAGGTTTCATCTGATTACTTTAAGGAATCTCTCACTGCGTCAGATTCTGTTAGCCATATCCTTTGCGGAATGGGACACTGCCGAAGCCGCTAAAGATCCGGGCGCTAGCTTATCCCCGGACACCGACACCCATGTATATGCTGTCACCCCTTCGTAAGTACTCTATTTTCTCGATAACGAGACAGGAATGGCAGCATAAGCATAGTTTCCTGTGTCGCCCCTCATTGTACCCAATAATCTCCACACTTCAAAGGCTGCACCACAACATGACCGAACCATCCTTCGCAGAACGGGAGAGACGCACACCCATTGCATCCCACGAATCTGCACAATGGTTTCCTGGGTTTAGTCAAACGTACGATAGCATTATGCGCGCTAAAGTAAACATCAGTGTGCCGTTCGTTAGATGACGAATACATGAAGGCAGAGATTCCATGCCGTAAGATACACATTTATATACCAACGTAGTAGTAAGATAGAACTGTCCCAATGTTAAGAAAGCAAGTAATCAGTCATAAGGTGTAATCCAAAAGTTCGTTGAGAAAAGAAAAGCAAAGCAGAGGGGTCACTGTCCGTGTGACTTGCCTTTGTTCAAGTGTCCGCGCCGTATGTTTCGTCCGTCAATACGTTTAACCGCCCTATCGCTAACGCTCTCGTTCGTCGATGCATCGCTTGCACTCGCTCGTAGTCGTGATGAGGCAAGAACACTCGACGCCCTTCATTGTTGACATAGCTGAACTGCCAGTGCAGGTCACAGTCCTCATCGACAAGAAACCACCACTCGTAACCCAGTCGATCTCGGCCAATCGACATCCAGTCTGGCGTGTATACCGGCGGGTCGCTGCCGGATGACTCGGATGACCGTGAGGGCGGCCGCAGAGTCGCCTATGATATGATGAATAAATTGACATGATCGAATACTAGGGAGACTCACGTCCGAGACAGAAGGCCGATGGGAGTGACCGGGCACAAAGGATATAGAAGTGGATTGATCAACCGAAGCTGAAGACCCCTCGTCGTCACCAGACGGGAACGACACATGCTCCATCTGAATGAGAGTGTCAGAGTGCACAACGTCATCGTCTTACTCTCCTCACCTCTTCTGCCGCCGCCTCTTCAGCCAGCTCCATCGCGGCCTCTTCCGCTCTATCAATCGCCTTCGCAGCCTCCTCCTCAGTGTCGCGTTCCGTATCATTGTCCTCGTTCGTAATGGACGATGACGTCGTCTCAGTTCCAAGCTCGTTTCGGGCCAGGGGCGGGGTATTTCGCCGAGGTCTTTGTCGCTGCCGGCTAGACGTGTGGAACACGCGGTCGTGAAGAGAGCGGAATAACCATGCTCGACGCGGTTCGCCACTCGACGATGCCTGCTGGTAGATCTCCGCCACAGTTGTCTGGTCGTGCAAGACCGCACCCGCGGAACTGAAGGACCAGAGGTCTTCGTCAAACGAGCGGTGTCTCTGCGATGCGAACAACGTCAGCCCCCTGTCTGTCAACAAAAGCCGAGACGCACAATGTAGAGTGGTTCACTAGACAGGACCTCCATGACCATGCTGAAGCGCGAATCGGGATCCAACGCGTATCCTGGAGTGCTCGGAGAAGTGGACTGCACCCAGTTTGAAATGTAGGCATGACGTCGAGAGAGAGATAATGCGGTGTCGTCCACAGCCGGAGTGAATGTTTCGTCGTGAAATTGTTCGTCTTGGGAATTGCTCGGGAAGGGTTGCCTAAGGGAGTTGCGCGATTGCGGGGCCTCAAGCGCGAAGGGAGAGGGGTGAGAGAGTCGTAATGGAGGCTCGTCTCCAGCGTTAAAGACATCCACAGTGTTCGGGAGTCCAAATAAGCGCCCAGCCAGATCCTCGGGTAAATGCTGCTCATGTAGATGGCCCTGCGCTGGAGAATCTAGGCCATTAAAATGCTCTGAGAGAGCACAAATATTGATAGTCGTGCGGGCGGCCGGTAGGAATGAAGAGTCAATTACAGAAGGCGGTGGAATATTGTTGGTAATGTCAGAGTTACCAGAACACGAGGCGCTTTGCCTGCAGGGCCCAAATTCCCATATATTGTTGACGTGAGTCTCTTGGAGAAGCTTGTCTTCCAGCTGGAATGAGAGCTCGGCCAGCTCCTTTGTCGAGGTATCGATGTCCACCTTTGCTATGTCGTCAGGCCCCGGCTTAATATGTCGAAAGGGCGCAGAGAATGATGTGGAGCCACAATCGGGTTGTCGCTTGCCCGTCGAACTCGATCGATATGCGCGTCGAGAACGAGAGCGTGGATGGGGGAGTTCATAGATCTGGAGAACGAGCTTTGCAGTGGTTGAGAGCTGGTTGTAAGGTAAGATTATGAGTCAAATGACATCCTGACAATGCACTGTGAGAGTGGTATAGGCACTTACAGAGGACCGGTGGACAGCCAGCTGGGATAGCGGATGCGCCGAATGGGATGCCACAGCAATCGGCAACGTAAAGGGACACGGCAATTGTACAATTCCCACTGAGGGAGAGAAGTCACGGCCGGCTATCCCAAAAATTTGCATTTCCAGGCAATTCAGCAGTCCATTGTTGTGCTGTTGTCGTGCGACCCTAGGCGCCGCGGACTGCACAGCACCCCGGCTTTACTAGTGCTTCTCGGGCCTTATTCGCTTGCGAATAAGTTTCAACCACGCGTGCAAACTATGAGGAGGTGATGATGGGGCGTCAAGGCAGTGAGAGAATCTCGAGACGTTTGTTGTGGGATACTAGTGGGCCCGGGAAGAGGTTGGCGCTGAGCAAGAAAAGCCAGAGACCCTGCCATTTCGCAATAATAGACATGGGAGGAAAACCGTTTTGTCCGAATAAAGTGGGATCATCAGAAGATTTGCCTCCGTTAGAAGCTAGCCCTTATTCGGGTAGGGGCCGGGTGTGGGCAATGCCGCTCATCCATCGGGTCCGAAAGCTAAGCCGGTCTTGTAGCGCTTTTAGACATGCGCCGATGCAGAGCAATGTCGTCTTATTGATATTATTGTTGACTAATGACTTCATAGCGTTCCCCGGCATCACGGACGTGGTAAAGGCTGTGAAGATGCAGCGAGAGCAGAGGGGTGGCCTACAACAGCCTTCCCGAAGCCTAGCGCCGACAGAGCCACTTGTCCCATTGGAGGGCACGTGTGAACAACGAGGACCATGGGATGCCGCGTGGGGACTCAACGGGACTGGCAAAAAGCCAATACCTTGTTCCCTGAGAACCCGTTTGACCTGTCAGAACAGAATGGTGGGGTCACTTTCGAAGTACCCTACAGAAGGAGCAAAGAAACCACCGGCGCTTGCGCGGCTTGGGGAGACGTGGAAGTCAAGAGCAAAGGGACCAGAGTTGCTTCCGTTTCTCGTCAGCTTCCTTACTTTATCAGTTTCTTCGGGAGCAGATGGGCTTCTGTCCTAGTCTCACACACCGGCCCGAAGCCACCACAACTTCTCGTCTTGCCACACTCTTGGCCCACCATCAAAGATAGAGTACCCACAGGTATATAGCACGCCAGGGATGCTACAACTAGTGAGTATGCGCAGTCGAAAGTTCTTTCCTTACACCAGAGTCAGCGCTATATTGGCACTTCCAATGAACTCTGGGCGATGCTAGTCGGAGCGTCCCACAAGATTCCTGAATTGGACCAAATGAGTAATTACCTCAATTACATCGCGGCGCTCACAGGACCGACGCAAAGAGCTTACCAAGCCACCGCTGCCGACGGCCTCTTCCTGACGGCACCAGACACCCTTATACTAAGACCGCCATTAGGCAGGCCAACATATGCATCTCGTAAGAGTCGGGTACGCCCAACTTTATGTACATGTACACCGTTCCGCAGGGCACCTCATCTGCCATCCAAACCAGAGGCGGCTCCAAAACATATGAACCTCCGGCAGCAGTTCACGCTTCCCCCGTTTTTCGCTTCTTCTTCCTCTTCTCGCCCCCAACCGGCTCGGGATGAACGGGTATGAGCTTCTTCCGCTTCTCCTTTTTGTTCTTCGCTGGCATGAGTTCGGTCTCGGGGATCGGGGGGACACTCGAGGGCTCGGCAGCAACATCAGACTTACTTTTCTTCTTCTTATGTTCTGGTTCTGGCGGGTCGACGGGTGCCAAAGAAGCATCATTCTTGTGCTCGTTAAGATCATTCTTTCGTTTCTTCTTTTTCTGTCGTTCGCCTGCAGCTGGTGCCCCGTCCTTCATAGGAATCGTAACCTCAACAGGTTCGATGGCCTCTGACTTTCGTTTCTTCTTTTTCTTTCCCTCTTCAGGCACGGGAACTTCAGCAGATTGTTTCTTCTCCTTTTTTGCCTTCTTGCGTTTCTTCTCCCCCACATGCTCAGCGATATCCTGAGCCTCAGTCTCCTTCGCGTCCAGGTGGCCCTGCTCATCCCTCTGCTCGTCCGATTCTGTACCGGAAGAAGCTGACCTGAACCCAAGCCCGTTCCCCGCTTCAAGTCCCAGTCCCTTACCGAAACCCATTCCCATCTTCATACTTCCGTCTTCCTCTTGCATCGATCCCATCGGCGTCTGAGGAGCAGAGGATGGTTCAGAAGTTGAGGGTGCAAGTCCAAGCTTCGCACGCATCTTCTGCTTGAAGTAATCTGCAACGGAGAATGATGAAGTAGAAGTCTTGACCAGCTCGTCGTCCTTCGGTGTCACTTCAGGTTCCTGTGGCTCGGAGGGAGTAGCCGGCCCGGAAGATAGAGTAGGGAACGCAGCAGGTACGGGAGATGAGTCCCTTGGCGTACCGGGCAGTGAAGCAGGAGCGGAGGCGATACCAAGGATTTCACTCATTGCGCGAGAATCAGATTTTGCGAGGGATTTCGCACGTAGGAAACGAGATCGATGTCTGTGCATGAAGTCAGAATGAAATTCACAGATATGTAAGGAAAGAGGACCGTACGCGAGGCGGCGGGGCACAGCGGAGGCGGGAGTAGTTGTTTGAGTGATAGTGACAGTCGTCGTAGCAGTCGTTGTCTCTTCAGGGGAAGAGCTGTTGGGGGACTCGCCCTCTTCCGTAACCTCCCGCTTCCTCTTCTTCCCCTTCTTGTGTTCCTCAACAACTACCGTGCCCTCCACCGTAAGTCCCTCCTCACCACTGGCCTTATGAAACCCAGAGATCTTGATATTCTCCTCCATTGTAACATCCTCCCCCTCCTCGGCAGAAGCGTTCAACCTCCTCAACAAGCCGTCAAACTCCCTCCCAGCTCGACCGTCCCTGTCTTCTTTTCCTCCTACGCGTGCACCGATACCCAGCGCATCAAGTTTGTGTGCAACACGGATGTATTCGGTCAGTCCTTGTCCTGTGAGACCGAGAGATGATCCAGTAGACCAGCCAAGCTTCGACAAATATGCGTGACCGAAACGGGAGGCGTCTGGGAGCGGTCAGTATTGGTACGTGATACGAGAGAAGAGCGTACCATTCTTCCAGGTGAGGTTGCGTGGATCCGCTTGGATCTTTTGCTTTACTTTTCTGTCTGCGAGTCCCATTGTTAACTTCGACCAGCAGGAGATACAAGCAAAGCGTGCGCTGTATCATGAAACTGCTTCACTCTGAAAGAAAAAAGGTGCAGCATGTGAATGATGTGGCTGTATTTCCGCTGACCCGTCCATCTGAACTTCATTCGGTCAGGGACCACGTATCAAAAGTCGTGTTCTGAGCATATATAACACCTGTGCTTTCTCTGGTGTTCTTTTCTTTCCTCGACCATCTCAAAAAGTGCAGTACTTCAGAAGAGGAACAGCACAAAATGTCTTCCCATCATATCCGCCCGATGCTCTACGCCCGTCCAGCCGACATCCGTACGTGCATGTTCTTCTACGCGTGTTTCTTGGTCACCGCACTAACAATATATATCAAGTGACGGAGCACCCAATCGTCGGTCTCTCTTTAGCCGCTCTTGGAGGCATCGTTCTCTCTTTCCATGTTCTCAGGCTTGTGAGGGTGCTCGTACAGACGTACTTGGTCCCTGGGGTGTCGGTGCGTTTTGCCGTTTCCCCACTACAAACGTCTGGCTGACCGGGTGCAAATGGATAGCTCAAGAAATTCGGTGCTGGAAAAGGTGCATGGGCCGTTGTGACCGGAGCTACAGATGGAATAGGGAGAGAGTTCGCGCTACAGCTCGCAGGCAAGGGATTCAACGTCTTCATCGCATCGCGAAGCGCGGACAAGCTGAATGCCGTCGCCTCCGAAATTGGTACGTAGATCTGCTGCATCTGAATTACAAGGCTTATCTGCGTGGAAGAGGGAAAATATAACGTGAAGACTAAGACTCACTCGATCGATTTCTCGAGCAATGATACGGAGGCGTACAAGGCTTTGGAAACCGCCCTTTCGGGGTTGGAAGTGACCGTACTTGGTGTGCTGCTCGTTCTATGCTCGTTCTATTTCACCTATTGACGCGCCATCCTTAGTCAACAATGTCGGGAAGTCTTACGAGATGCCTACCAACTTTGTCGAACATGCGCTTGAAGAAGACGAAGCAATTGTCGCGATCAACATCCTTTCCGTAATCCGCGTCACTAAGATGCTCTTGCCAGCCATGGTCTCGGGAAAGAAAGGCCTGATCCTCAACATTGGCTCGTTCTCTGGTGCATTCCCCTCCCCCATGCTTTCAGTCTACACGGGCTCCAAATCCTTCCTCCAGTCGTGGTCTCAGTGTCTCACAACCGAGCTGGCAGGCACAGGCGTCCGCGTGGAACTCGTTAACACATACTTCGTCGTCTCCAACCTGAGCAAGATTCGTCGCCCCTCTATTATTGCCCCTACCGCGAAGGCGTACGTGCGCACCGTGCTGGGAAAGATCGGAGTGCCGTGTGGTAGCTTGGGCAGGCCGGGTGCGATGACCCCGTTTTGGAGTCATTCAATTGGGGACTGGCTCGTGCAGGGTTATGCTCCGAAGGGCTGGCTGTTGGGATATATTAACAGTGAGCATATTGTTCTTGCCAGTATGATCCAAGGAACTAATGATAGTAAGATATGCACAAGGATATCAGAAGAAGAGCTATCAGGAAGGCGGAAAGACTCGCGAAGCAACAGTGAGGGGTGGTTGCCTGAGCGCGGAGCTCAGAGTGCGTAATTGTCGGAGGATGATGCCCCATACACACATACCCAAAATCTTGGAACGAGTATATCAAAAATAATATATATCGACCTACTTCCTATCCTTCCACTCCTCCTCCTATTCAGTGCCTCCATTCCGCAACCACCGGCCATCATCTGTTCAGGAGAATGGCCGCAATCAAGCCGCACGACCTGTCACATAGGAATTTACCTTCAGCGCACCAGTCCGAGATGTTAGGACCATTGCCGAATGACGTAGTGCCAGATTCAATTCATTAATGCCTCCGTGTGCACATTACTTATCCCTATTTCTTGCAGAAGGGACCCACGCGTTTGTATCGGAACTCGCCTAACAAACTGTACAGCCATGTGTGCTCTGCTCGGCCTGTTATTCCACGAATTCCTGGTTTATTCAGCCAAGAATGAACGCCCCAAGTGCGTGTGCTCAAGCTGGTTGTTCTGGATGTCTGCTGTGCTTTGGGTGACAATCAACTTCGGGTGGGTCGGAGTGGTTTCCATTCACCAGGCGTGAGCTGACCCAGTGGAACGAAGAGGCAGAACCCTCATTAACTGCTGTGGGACCAGCCCATCCAGTGCAAGGAGCTCTTCCACCTGAGCAAAATACTCTACAGCCGCGTCTCCATCACCATCCCAGGAAGGGATATCTTCCCGCTTCAATCAAGTATTAATCTGAGGCTGTATTCCCATCCACGCCCTTGCTTGATCCTTTTCAGCTAGACGTGCATATGCGTCCGCCCAAGACAAGGGAAAGAACGTCGACTGGGGAGGATGGGGACTGAGGGCTGCTGAGGGTGGGCCAGCATAGCCTGCGTTCCACTCTCCAGGAAGAGGGTAACGCTCGCGGGGCTTCTGGGAGGAAGGGATGCATTCATTCAAGGCAGGCCTGGCTCCATAAGCAAGCTCAGTCACGACCGGCACACTCGTGACAGGGGGATCAACAGGAATTGTATTGTAGGCTAACGTCGCATCGAATTGATTGATTTCGGGGTAGTGACGAGCGCAAGTTGCCGTTTCCTCCTGCGCCACGGTGTGGCCATCATATATGCTTCTAACCATGGGGGAAAGAGGACGAGCAACCCCCCAATCATTAAGGAACACTTGATGCACTTCTGCGAGACGCTGAGCTCTATTGGCAGTGGTATAGTCGGGGGCGGCCGCATGGAGCTGCTGCTGCAAGCCCATCCCTCTAGTCGGGGTGAGTGTCCTCACCATCTGTGAGATAGGGTTGGGCGTGGACACATTGGAGGGAGGGAAGGCCTTTCCCTCTATGGACTGACACTGCCGCTCTAAACTAGAAGCAGCGATATGCACACGAGATACCCACAAAGAGTATTCTCCCCAGAGGGATTCAATACTGTCATGAGGTGCGGACAGGGCCGTTAGTATATGCCCTCCCATGTCCAGCTGGCTAGGCTTGCACCCCTTAGAGGTAAGGTGGATGGCATGAGGTTCTGGTGCACTGATGCACCAGTGCTCATGGTCATGAGACAGAGTCTGCCACACTTGCAGAGTGTCATCCGGTATCGAGTACAAAATTTGACCATTCCCCTCGCATCTGGTGTGTGCAAGCTGATCAAATGGAATCTTTTCCCACTCCATTAGACGAGCCTTGAAATTCCCTGCTGCCCAGAGGTAGCTCTTCTTCAAGGCGTCCTCCTGCATCAGTACGCGCATCTGGTCTGCCGTCACTGTGTCGGGGGAGTTGGCATGCTTCAGCCCGAACACAAATCCAGGGGTGGAAGATAATGGCTGGTGGGTAGCGAGGATGGTGTGATCACTAATGGAAATGGGTATGCGAAAACGGATGGCCAAGTCAAAATTTATAGGGCTGTGGGCAGGTCCGGATGTGGACAGTTGAGTGATCATGCTTTCGTTAGGGTTGAAGGAGGACCTAGCAGACCGCATAGGAGCTCCAGGGGGAGCACCCGGAGGCGCTGCCTGTGGGCAGGTAGTAGGAGTGAGGAGGGAAAAAGGAGAGGTCAATCTCAAGTCCAATCCAGGCTGACATGTCTCGGAAGCTGAAGGACATTCATCGGGGCTACTAGCTTCCTGACATCCTCCAGCTCCCTCATCCAAGTCATGGGGTGGGGGAGCGGAGGAGGATGCTTCGACTTCCGGGGAAGCCGGGGCCGCCTCTCCCTCGACCTGCTTTCCATGGTGAGTAGGCATTATACAAGGCAGAATAACGAGTGAGACAGGAGTTCGGAAAGGGGATTAGACACAGTCGGATCCCAGCACGACCTCCAATTGTGATGCCCAGAGATTATTAAGAGGAGGATTCAGTAAGAATTGATCCGACTAGCATTCAATGAATAGTACAAGTAGGATATAGTAAGAGGAATGAGACCACTACTCTGCAATCACCGTTTTGCCCTGGGGCAAGATGATGGTCAAAGAGAGAGATGAGGAGCATGTATGCATCAGGGCTCTGACGCTGTATGCACTCCTCGCTGCCTCCGTGTCACGTGCACACGGTGAGGACTCTATCTACAAATCCCGCCGTCACAGTAAAGGTGCGACGGAAAATGTGCGAGTACATCGACTCAATAGACTCTGTGTTGGCTTTGGACGCTACCACCTCTGTGTCAGTCGCACGTCCACTTGGCGGAAGGGGAATCATGGGTAGCTCACCTTCGGTACCTTTGTCTGCTGGATGCTGGAAACCGCGTCTGACGACCTTGCCTTCGATCGTGAGAGATTTTCCACCCTCTCCAACACTAACCTCAAGGTCCTCCTTTCGAACTCCAGGAAGCTCAGCCTCGACGACGTATTCGTTGCCCTCTTCAGCGAGCTCGACCGCCGGGCTGCGCACAAAGGTCGATCCCATGAAATTGTCCGGTTTGGGTCCAGGCTGGTTTCGCGAGTCTAGCGTATTAGCCTAGTTGTTCGGCTGGTAGTATTGAGAGTGGTATGGGTTCTCAAGAAGCATGAAGAAAGGATCTTCGAAAAAGCGTCGAGACATCTTCGAGTAGGAGCTCAGCAGAGTACAGTTGCAATGGCGTATCAGGGACGTTGGATGTTGTGCTGAAGGGATTCTCCAAGCAGAGTCGACGGCTTTTATACCCAGTGCTCGCAAATTTCTAGAACTATTCCAGCTCAAGGGAGCAGCAAACTGCGTCATGCAGTCCGAACACAGTCTTTGAATATTCGATATAATTTGCCCAGCCAGAGTTCGAGAAAGTGCGCAAAGGAGACTTGGAGAGCGTTCCAGAAAAGTGGAGCTTGGGATGTGTTCGGCGGTTGCGGAAGTTTCTGGAACACAGAAACAGGGAAATCACGTGCTTCATCCAGTCTCACACAACCATGTTAAATACCTGTTACTAGCGATTTTGGGATAGGACTGATCCACATCACTTCCACGAGGCGCAAGGAATAAGGACCGTATATTGACCGCGAATGATTGTGAATTCCTCGGCCATGAGAAAATGAGTGGAGACCGGACTTTGAATTCATTGATGTTATGAGTACAGTACGTCAGGATACAGGAACTTGCGCGAAAGCTACTGCTTAATAGCTGCATGCTCCCGAAGCACCGCATTCAGTCCCTCGCGCTGAACGCAGTTCTCAAACTTGAAGCTCGCGGCGAAAGCCTCGAGTTCAGCCTCGCTGAGATCCTTGAAGTAGGCGGCATATTCCGGGTAAAGGCTTTCGGACAGAAGGATATTGCGGACTGGGCGACCGAGATGACGCCCCGGGTTCCACGTGGGTGGGTAGCGCTTTCGGATCGCCGGGCCGTTCTGCTCAAGCCAATGTTCCATGGGTTCGAAGACCTCCTTAACGTCGGTCAGATCGACTCCCCATGCGTCTGCGGCAAGTTTCTTCTTCTTTTCAATGAATGGTTGGAGGGTCTTGACATAGGGGGAGTCGGGAGAGGCATAAACCATCCCTTGGAATCCAATGTCCTGCGATACAGTGAGAAGTCCGCATCTTGATCTGACGATCCATGCGTACCTTGAACAGCCAAATGCTCCACGATATCTTCTTTGTGTCGTACAGCGCGAGCTGATCTCTGAGCACCATGTACCTACTCTTGTTGATCTCCTCCCATTGAGGTCCGTCGGCCCATTCGCGCGCATACACAGGACCGAACTCTCCGTTCCAGATATGCCCTTTGATCTCCTCGTTGTACGCGATTTTGCGCGCAAATTGTTTCTCGAGGAAGTGCTTCTGCTCAGCACTTCCCGTGTATAGTTCGTGCGATGCTGGGAAACCGTAGCCAGCGTAATCGTGGATCGCGTACACACTGTTGGGCATCGGCGGGCGGCCCATGAAGTCGCTGAAGTCAGCGGCATACGTGTTGCCGTCATAGAATTGGATGTGGTTCGGATCGATCGCCAGGATCGCCTTGTTCACTCGGTCGTACCAAGCCAGCAAGCGTTGAGCTTTCTGGCTGTCGGCGGGCTCGTTAAGAGGGTTGTAACCAGCCACCCACGTATTGTCCTTGTAACGCGCGGCAAGCGCCTCCCAGAGTTTGATTGCACGGGTCTGGAAGTCAATGTGCTCCCAGAACAGGGCGCGGGTAAGACCGGAGTCTATATGCAAACTACGTCAGTGGTATGTGGATGATGGCATGACGTGTGACATACCGCAATGCCATCCAGTGCTCTGCCCACCCGGCGCCGCATGCAGATCCAGAATAGTGTAGATCCCGTACTTTCCGCAGATATTAACGATGCGATCCAGCCACTGGAATCCTCGCTCCTTAAGTACGCTTGGGTTCATATCATCCTCAAAGTGGCGGTAGTTGAATGGCACGCTGATGGCTAGAGTTAGACTACCGGAACGGAGAGGAGGTAATGTTAGCGCACCGAAGACAGTTGAGTCCCAGAGAAGCGAAGAACTGGGCATCCTTCTCATCAAAGAAGTACTCGAGGAACTAACATCCGCGATTAGTTATATGAAATGCTGAAGAGCACCCGCAGCTTGCACGTACGCGATCAAAGAAGAAGTCGTACTTGTCTTGACCAAGCACCTCCAGCAGCGCTTCACGCATCCCGGTCTCATGGCCAGGATAACCAGTGATCTGTTCCAGCGTGAGGTCGTAGAATCGCTTCCTTAGCCAACACACGCACGAAGTTCTCCATGTTCATCCAACCACCAATAGCGGCTCCCCTCAGAATGACTGAGTGGCCATTCTTGTCAACAATCTTCTCTCCCTCGAGCTTAAGGATGCCGGTCGGGGCTGGTGCAGGTGCAGGGGGGATCGGGATAGGCTTATTCACCATCTTTGTGTTGCCCTTAGAGCGTCAAGTTGTAAAGAATATGCAGAGATTCTTCTGACCCCCGACATGCCCTCCATAGCTAGATATAAGTCGTTCGGACATGCTGCCCAATTGGGAAAGATACTGTAGGGGGATAAATGTCACGGACGTTGCAAACGGAGGGCGGCGGAGGTATTTCGGCACACTCGGTCCGACTGTTCTTCAAAGCCGGACCCTGGCTTTCACTTTCTTCACTCTTTCTAGTTCTTGATCCGGATCCCCCATGTTCACCAGATACCCTCACTGTTATGGACTCGTGCGTCGGCGATACTAAACAGTAATCCGGGATTTCGGCAAGCACGTACTCTTGATTACCCGCTTCGTGATCTATTCACTTTATGCACTTTACCACGAGCGGACGCGTCAAATCATGTGAATCTTTCAGTACATGACAGTCTGTTGTACAATCGGAGTTGGGCCATCTAGTAACCGACGCTCTTTGCAGTCTCAACAACCGCATCCTCCACACTGATCCATTCGTTATCAAGTGCCCTCGTCGCAACTGCGTTGTCGATATTCCACTTGGACGCGGGCACTTCGAGAGACGGACCGCCTGGCAGTTTAGCGCTCGGGAAGCTCTTCTTCAACTTGTCCACGACTTCCTTGATGTTCGTCGGACCGGCTGCAGCAATGGTGCGTTTACCTCCGAAGCTTTCTTCAGCAATGGCGATAGCATGCAACTTTCCACAGTCACGGACATCGACGTACGTGTCTTCAAATGCGTGGGTGAGTAAAAGGATACTTTGGAATGGATTTACTCACAAGGCCGCATGTAACAAAGCGTGGGATCCCCTTCCAAGAGTCCTGCGAGAATCTGGGCGGTTGTCCTGGCTGGACCAAACATCACTGGGCCCCATGTACATGCAGGAAAAATTGTGACTAGGTCCCAAGTGGGCTGCACTGCCTCAGAAATTGTTGCTCTTTTTCAGCAAGTTGACCAGACACACCTTGTTTTTCTCGATGAACTCCCAGGCTGCTTTCTCTCCAAGCGTCTTTCCTGCGCAATATTCAACCCATTGGTTCTTCTCTCCTGCTGCCCTCAAGGTGTTGTACAGCTGAACTGCTTCGTCGTTCCAAGCATGTTCGGTTATCGGCTCGGCGGTCGGTGCACCACCTACTAATTGCGGATCGGCTGCCGCCAAGGTGGAAGTCATCACGTAACGTTTGATGCTTGGCACCCTCGCCGCCACTCGAAGAGGTAGCATCATGCCGTCAATCATTCTGCTGACGTAGTCATCTTCGCTATCGAACTCCGGCATCGTCAAGTTGATAACTCCGTCGGCATCCGCGAAAGCGACCTCAAGTTGTGCTTCGCTGCCCAGATCGTCAAACGTCACGAGCTCGAGGTTCTCAGGGGATGCATCGACGCCGAATTTTTCGTAAGCAACGCGGAGCGCTGCAGCCCTCTGGGTATCACGAACAGTTCCTCGAATTCGGAATCCAGCCCGGAGCGCTTCAAGGCCGGCATAACATGCGATATAGCCAGTAATGCCAACGACGACTATGAGTGAGCCAGGTGGAAGGGCGGGCATGTTGTTTTGGTGGTGTAGGTTTCGGGGCTTAGGTTGTGTTGAGTATGTTTTTCTTCATCCTGCGTTTGCATCGGACCTATTTATGCGTTAGAACCTGTCTGTGATATGGGCCCACTCCGTCCCGTGCCCTCTTCCGCTACCTTCTCTTCGTATTCTTTCCAGTATTGCTGCTCCTTGGTATCCATCCTCAGTGCTTTCGGCAGTTGATAGGCCGGAATTCAGCCAACTCAGATAACCGGATCTGCTGTTTAGTATATTCCGGCCGTTTTGGGAGGCTACTTCTCGACAAGGCGGATGGTGGCTACCATCTCGACCCCGGTTGCACTGGCGAGAACACGGAGACAGGAAAAGGCACAATCAGGGCACGCTGTTTCCAAAGCACGTCGCCAGAAGGCTACTCGAACCCTGATAACGCTGGAGGCCGCTGACCTGAGACCTCACAACCTTACGAATGTTCTGATGGTGCCCTCATGCAGACTTCTGTCCAAGGGTCTGTAGAATGCACTTTCGCATCAACTAGGGTCTGCCTGTGCGTACCTAACGTGTGGACAGGATGTCCATATGAGGACGCCCTATGGATATAGGTGATCGGACGATTCGGTTGAACGTAGTCGCCGGATTACCACTCGATAACAGTCAGCGAAGGCGTAGAATCAGCGGGGAACATTTGAAAAAAAAAGCAGTGTAAGGCGCTCGTTCGCACATTCCACCTTCACTGGATCCTGTCCCTGAAGCTGGGGCATTTGCTTCTTCGTTGCCAGTGATCTGATCGTTGTTTTCTTTTTACTGGTAGTGCGTACTGCCGATTGTATCACCCGATACGTAAATGTGTGTCGTTCTTCAAATCCTCACAGTGCTCTGTATACACAGGCTGGCCATGTTAAGCGCAAATGAATTTGAACTGACCCGAAGCACAGACATGGTTGAGACAACCGTACCGGTAAGACGAAGTTGACAAAGGTTTCACAGGTGATTAGCAAGCGGTTAGGGTTTAATGCATTGTGTGTCCACGTGCTGATGACTAGTTGGGCCAATCCCCTGTGTATCGACAGACCCTCCATTGAAACAACTTCGGTGTTCAGGGTCAACTCGACAACCGTGAGTGTGTCCAACCTTGCCCGTATTCATAGCGCCCCGTTGGACTTCACAACTCTGGGATCTAGGACACAATGGCGAGCTACGCTGTATTGTTGGGCCCTCTTGCTGGCACATGATTTACTATCAGAATTATCACTCTAGCTACGAAATTGTTCTGTCTCTCATCCTCTAATATCCAATGCTTCTCGCGGTATCAACAACGCAGTCCTCCAAGCTGATCCACTTGCCGCCTAGCACCTTACGTCCGAGCTCACTATCAATTTTCCATCGGCTCTCTTCTGCTAGATCTCCGGATACGTTTCCAGGCAAATCAGAGCTCGGAAATGCGCCTGTTAATGCATCAAGGACGTTGTTCATGCTGATGGGTCCGGCCGCTGCGAAGATCCTCCGTCCGGCGAGATTGGGCTGAGTGAGCGCAAGTAGATGAAGCCTTCCCGCGTCTCGTACATCAACGTACCACTCTGGCGGTGAACTAAGTAAGTTATGTCTTTTTGCATCAGAAGACAGTACTCACGAGGACGGTAGGAGAGTACGGCGGTATCCCCTTTCAGAAGGTCTGCTATCCATCCCGGAGTGAGGGAAGGTTTGCCGTGCAGCACCGGACCCCACGTGACGACGGGAAGGACGGACGACAATTGGAAGTGTGGCTGTCAAGACAACGTATCAACATTCAGTAAGCATCAATGAATAGGATCATCCCTCCTCCTCCTGATCGACGAACCTCCATGCAGCCTGTTCTGCGAGCGCCTTCGCAGCCCGATACTGGGACCACCAGTCCTTCTGTGCAACCAATTCTTCCCGCGTCATGGCCTTGTATGCCTCGATCGCATTCTCGTTCCAGTCCGTCTCTCCCAAGACCTGGTCCGGAATATCTGGTAACGAAACGACTGCGGCGGAGCTGGATGTGATCACGAATCGCTTGATGCTCTTCTCCTTTGCCGCGACGCGTAACGGGACGAGCACGCTCTCTACCGTTTTGGGCACGAAATCGACCCCTCCCGCAAATTCGGGCAAGGCAACATGAGCGACCGCATCGGCATCGGCGAACGCACCGGCGAGCTGCACCTCGCTCACGAGGTCGTCGACGAGCACGAACTCGAGCCGTGCGGGGGAGACGTCGACACCCTCCTTCACGTAGGCGGCGCGGAGTGCTTCGGCCTTCTGTAGAGAGCGTACCGTACCTCGGACCCGGTGACCTGCACGAAGAGCAGCGAGTCCGACGTGAGAAGCGATGTACCCCGTGATACCGGTGACGACAATAAGAGAATCAGAGCTGAGTGCGCTGAACATCAGGTTTGTGTTTCTTGATCCGTGGTGTCAGTTGTATTCAGGCGATTTGTTGTTGAATAGTAGAGGCGCATCTTCGACTGATTTTATACGATAAATGGAGGGCTGACGTCCGCCCGCACATCTGTCAGCATTTTACTGCTTCTAACTCCCGATGTTGGACCGTGTATGACGGTACATATGGGGCAAAACCCTATTCCCTTCCGCAGGATAGCCCGACTCACGGAATTCACACGCACATCGCCCAGAAATTGCCCGTTTCACAATTTTCTCACCGCTTTAGCATGTAATCCTAATAATTAAATGCCCTTCATGACAAATGCATGCAGTTCTCACGGTTTTCTCACGGTATTACCCTCACATTTCCTGTTAAAGCGCTTACCCCGGATCCCTGACTTCTGCCCGCATGCAGCACTACACCAAGGGTTCACCAAGTATTTCCCTCCTTTTTCACGCATCTTTCACTCGGATATCATTCAACTTCCTCGTCAACATCCTTCACCTACTCCTCCTGCTCATAAAGACAGGGTAGGGATGCTTCTCTCTCGCTTTCCCAAACTCTGGCTCCCTCTTGCGTTTTTACTTCCCCCAGCTGTCCTCATCTGAGGTCCTCCATCTGCCGAAGCTCGGAGTCTGGGGCCTCGACTGATCCTCATCAAGCCAAGCGTCGTTACAGTAACGCCTTCTTTTGCTCTCTCTTCTCTACTACCGAAAAGCAGTTACCAGCGATCATGAGCGCTATATTGGCCATTCCCGCGATTGGCTACTTGTGGTGTTTGTTTACCCTCACGTGTCGTTTTGCTCTGTCGCCCTTCTTTACCGTGGCACTATTGACGACACAGTCAATCATCACTCTTCTTCCCTCTCCCTCCAAGCATTCTCAACACACCCTGCCATAATATCATCGCTCTCTCGTCCTCCTATCGGCAACACGGTCAATCATCACTCCCAATCACCCTCAGTGCGAACCTCCAGATGGCATCATCTTCACCAGCTCCGCTGTCGTGTAGTAGATGCAATACTTGCGACCTCTTCATATATCATGTATATGTACGTCTCTAGCTCCCATACTTTTGCACTGACTTCCCTGCTGTCTCTCCCGGAGCCGGAGCTGTTCACGGCGCAGACCATATGCTTCTGCGGCTGTTGCTTGGATGAACACTTTCATCCCGCAGATCTAAGGTTCCGCTGTCCGCAATCGGGTTGCAAGTATTTCTATGCGGTGCAGCTCGCCTTTTCTCAGACGTCACGCTCTCACTTATGCCTTAGCGCAGAGCGTCAATTCCTGGACACACGAGACGTCTTGCGAGAACCAGCTCCTTGGCGGTCAGCACTGTAGTATGCCATATGCCATGCACATTCCTGCTCCGCCCTACCGTCCCGATCTGCCATCTCGCACCAATCGCCAGACCCCACCTCTGTCTGGTGATTCTCAACCCTCAGTTCTCCCGGCTCTCGTAGGTTCTGCTGACCCTTCCTTGGTCGACACAGCCAATCATCACCTCACCTTCGATGCCTCTTCGCATCAACAAACTACTGTGCCGTCAGCATTCAGTCCCGTGCGCCTCATGGGCTCGCTACCGGGTTTGCCTCTTCCCTCCTTCGGTTCATTCATGGATCGTCTTTGCGACCAAGAAAGCGACAATTCTAATGCCAATCGTATGGCGGCCACTGCTCGCCATCTCCCTGCGGCAGGATCCCGACGCGCCTGTGGACGCCCCTCTCGAGGTGGTAATGTCAGTCGTCAGTCCAACCACATCGGCAGGCCGACTACAGGATTCGATCCCGAAGTGCCGTTACTTCCATCTGATATGCAAGCGGAGGATGCGTCACGGGGCCTTACCTCGGACCAGCATGGTTGTGCGGTCATAACGGTGGTCCTTCCTATCCCCGTAAGGATTCCTTCCTTTGGCGTAGCAAAATGTCTAATGCGCAGCACAGGTCACCAGCACATCCCCTTTCTTCATTGGCCGCAACGGTATGGGCAACATCCCTTACAGAGGACTTGAAGCCGATGGTCTTCGGGTCCTCGTCGATCGCTTGAGTCGCCTTCATCTCCTTTTCCACGTGCCTTCATCCACCACTAGTTTTCTACAACTACACCTCCGTCTCACTGCAGCTCTGGTGGCCCATGATCTCTCCTTCCCTGCTCCGACAAATGAACAAGGCGAGGTGTTACATGCTGCCACCCCTCACTCATCTCCAGAAATATCTGAATATGACAGGAGGCTGTTCGACATTGTCAGGCCTGGTCGCCGTGTCAGTGGACATCCAGGAGCGTACAAGTACGTGATGATCAACACAGCTCAAACCATCCTCCCTCAGCTTCGCAAGAAGTTCAACAAGTGGAGATGTCCAGAAGCCACAGTTCTCGCCCATCCCCACGTGCTTGTCTTCGTCGGTATGTTGGCCCTCTAAGATGTTACTGCCGGTAGCTTATTCTCATGACTTAGCCCCTCACCATGGTCCAATGTTCGGACACCTTCCGGCTTCTCTTGGTCGTCTTCCAGGCAAGCACATCTGCTTCTCTCGCCATGCGCTACATCATCTTTCGCATTGTGTACCGCACCATCCTCATCTGGAAGACATCTGCTTGGGCGTTCCCTGCCTTCAGATAACGGGCAACCGCATGACCCCAGACCCAGCGGAGCCTCCGGTTCATAGCAATCAGTTGCCGACTCGGCGCTCCCACAGTCAGGTACGTTTGTGCTTAAGTGTCGTTTCCTGTCAATGTCAGTTCACCACTCTGTCAGAGTCCTCCTTCGTCTGTAACCAGGCCGGCCACTCGTCCACGACTTGCTTCCCCACCCCTGCCTGACAGCCATTTGTCGGTAGTCAGCACAGTCAATCATCACCTCAACAGCCCCTTCCTTCCAGCAGGACCTGGGTTTGGTGCTGCTGGCGACCACGCACCGACCCGCCCGTCCTGGTCTTCTCCTCACAGCGCCCCTCCTTCAGACACCATTCGCTCTCCAGCCCGTCCATCCCCTTCACCTTCGATTGTCTCTCGAGACAACACAGTCAATCATCAACCATCTCGCGACATATCCACCCGTCATGTTTCCGCTGGGTCTCACCCAGCTTCATCCGCAGCGCCCGCCAATCAGTGGGACCAGTGGTCTGTGATCAAACTCTCATCTGATGATGAACCTGACATTGCTCCGCTTGTCTTTGCTGGGTTCACTGTCGATTCCAATTCAGAGGACGAAGATGACAGTATCGTTGTTGATGGAGGTGCATCATATCGTGCGGCTGACCTTCCAAGACATCTGACCATCGGGCAGCGTGGCAACCTGCTGAGCTCGGTACTCAAGAGTATAATAAGTGGGTCCGGGAATGGGCCAATGAAGCGCGGCGAGAGATCGATCTGCTGCCTGCTCAGTATGACAAGCCGTTTGTGGGCGAACTTTACCCGGGCCAGCCCTCCACGCACATGGAGCCTGCGCTCCAAACCCTAGGAGTCGAACTCTCCATGACATTCTGGATGCTGTTAAACGCCGCCTTCCCCCTGTCTGGGCCACCTTCAGATGTCGGGATGGACGACTTACGGGTTTTTGCTAGTCGTCTCTCACCAGACATGTTTCGAGTCGAAATGTGAGTACCCGCCTTCTGTTCGCGGCTCATCTGATCTTTCCGCAGAACAAGCGCTAGGGTTACGCCCTCTGCTCGTGGGCGACTCCTCACTTCTGGACAAAGCCCGTCGCACGTGACCTTCAACCTCCTCATGCGCCATTATCTTAGTCTCAAACCTCAAGCCTACAGCACCACACCAGACGGTTACATGGCGCTGAACCCGCCACACGATTATGACCCCTCGGACAGCCTGTTTTGGCGAGGTATCGGTATTCTTTCTTCCCTGTGGTTGCTATATGCTGGTACACCGCCTTTCAACATTTCTCCTTTTGTTTTCTTCGTAGGAGCCTCCCAAGACAAGCCGGCGTCATTAGCAACTCTGAAGGATGCCTCCTTACTTCGGGCTTGGGCACCCAGAGCTGCTGAATGGCTTGATTCATGGGACCGCCTAGGAGACTCGCACATCTCTGACCATCTGCCGCCAGTGACTGGCGATCGTGGACCGCAAGCGCAACACGACATGAACACGTTCCGCGTCTACCTGGACGCGTTAGACATTGTGAGTGACTGTATGCAGTATGTGCTATTGCATTGTTTACCTGAGCTTCTCATAGGATCTCCCCGACGCCCTGGACACAGACCTGACGGGTTTTAAACTCACAGAAACGGACCATCGTCGCATACACGACGATCTCTTGCACTTATTCCTCCTCGGATCGCGGACCATCTCACCCCCCAATCATCAGTTACCATCCTACTCTGCCGGGCTCATGTTTTTTGACAAGTTGCGCATGGTGAGCGCCCAACCGTCTCTCTCTCGTGATGATTGACAATCTCCAGTTTTACCTCCATCGCGCCTTCGGCAGCTTCAAAACTTTTGTTTACACGGTCTGGCAGGACATCACGGTCAACCCGGCTGCATACCTTCTCCAGAGGGTCAAGTGGATGTATCCATCGGCCGCCCAGGATGCGAGCGCATGGGCCGACATCAAAAGCGCTCTGATCCGTTTTTTCTCGCAAGACGGGCTACCGGCTTTGACCGCCAGCACTGGTACCAAAGCCTTGTCGACATTGTACGAGCTATATCAGGCCGGCCCGAAGGCTTGCACCCCGCATAACACCATGCACCAACCACACATACGCCGCATACTCCTTAATAAACTGGTTTGCAGACATGAAGTTCCACCGGGAGACGCGCAAATAACGGTGAGTCCGTTGCTGAATATGATCCCCGTGATCTCACACCTATGCATAGATTGAAATAATTCCCAGTCGCCATAAGCCCATAGGACATGCTGGACAGCAAGCGGAGCACACCACCTTTGCAGCTCGCGTGTGCTTTGCCCGGCTGACAATACACTACGGAGCTTCACTGCATGCACTTGCTGTTGCTGGAGATGATGGGGAGGAGTTCGACCGCATAATCTTTGCGGGGCTTCTCACGCCTAGCATCGCGGAGTTTACGACACTCTGAGCGCTGAGGGGACATATATCCCGAACTCTTACTTAGTCTTTTTATCGATATGTCTGCCGTAATTGAATGATATGTCCCCGCTCGATATTCGAACTTAGGCAGCTATGATTGTGATTGTGATGGTATTGGACATCCATCTCAGAGACTGGGGCCTCTGGACAGCACAGTCATTCATCACCTCAACACTTTCGATGATGAGGCGGACAACACAGTCATTCATCACCTCTTTCTCTCCTAAGCCACGCCTATCTATGGCAGTCACTCATCACATCGAGGCCTCCTATGACAGATGCCCACCGTGGGCACAGTCAATAATCACCTCCTCTTCACCTGTTCGCAGCACAGCAGACATCCATTTGTTCTTCCCACAAGGCGCTTCAACACAGTGCAAACTTGGTTGACATTGCTTTCGTGCGGCAAATCCAGTTTCATTGCAAATTCGTAACTACTGATACGTCCTAGAACGCTGTGTCCCTATGCTCATCCAACGTGTCTACCACCCCGACGAGATTCCTCAGGAAACAGACGAGTGAATGCTGTGGAGACGTGGTTTGCCGTCCAGGTACCTGCTTTAGAAGCAATGAGGCCCGGGGGTGTTCCTTCGCAGATCTCATCATGTTCCGCACTGCCCGTCGCCAAACTGTACCCAACCACACCAATCAGTTCCAATCTCGCCCTGCTCCTCTCGGTGCTGTTTTCAGTGCTGTACCACGCTCCACGTTGAGACATGTATTCCGAACGCAAGCGGTTCCAGAAGCGGACGAACTTGACGAGCAAACCTCGATGGTTCTGGTAAGTCCGTCGGCACCCAGACCCTCCCATAGGATGTCCCGAAAACCAAGCAGCAAGTTGTTCTGTGGTAACCCGGCCATCCCAGCCCTGGCTCCGCCAGTTTGCGATCTGCTGAGGTGTGACGTGAGCGTGCCTGGCGAGACCTAAAGAGGTATCGTAGTAGTTGCCGGTATTTGCAGACGGAAAGCAGAGCTTGGTCGCGGTATCGAAGAATAGGCTTGTACGCATGACAAACCAGGCAATGCACTTCGCAGTGATGAGCGGCTGATGCTCGGCAATGCCGTTAAGCGCGTCGTGGACAGCTCCATGTTCAGTAGCCAGGAACATGGAGCTGAACTGATAATTCGGTTCCGCCATCGTTACCTGGTTGATTTTGCCGGTAAGTGCTCTTGGCCGCTCTTCATGTTGATGAGGAATCCAGGGAGAAGGAGGTGGACTTCGTGAGAGGGTGTCGTCCACATCCATAGCCGAATTTCCCGATTCTGGGACGTTAAAAGGCAACACAAGGGTTGCAGCAGTTGCCATCAGTCGTGCAGGGGCGGGCAAGACTGCCCGACCTAGAATGGAGTGCTGTCTCCCTGGAGGCATAATGTCGTTTCAAGACACTTGAACCAAATACAAGATGTACACTTGTCCGCTGAAGTGTACTCGAGGGAATCCGGCCGGCAGTTGTTCCATAAAGCGCTGCATCTGCAGCGAAGATCAGTCCATGGGTTCGACCAGCGAATTGGGTGTCTCTATGCCGTTCAGAAGGTGGTAAAGAATGGCAAGCCGCTGATGGCCCACTTGCAGATACCAGGCCTCCGTGTTGAATCGGCGCCCTGAAGGGACTCGCAACGTCACTACGTTGTAAAAGCTGTATTCTGGCGCCAGAAATCGAGTGAAGTTGTGCATGGGAATCTTCTCCGTGGGCATGAAGAACAGGCAGAGCAGGACGTCGGGAGGAGAGCAGTCAGGCAAACCGCTCTTCTTGATCCTCGCGCGCCCATAAATGGCTCCATCACCGTCATTCTGATCGTCTTCGATCAGAATGACAGAGCAATACTTGGCAACTGTGGGACTCATGAGGGAAAACATTGTTCCTGTGATGACAGGGCTTACATTGCGTTGGTGGGGCCACAGCGAGAGAGCTAGCAGACCCCACTGACGCCGGTATGGCATCAGTGGATACATGTACCCAAGTAGACTCGGGTGCATGTGGTGGTGATGATTGACTGTGCCGCTCTGGAACGACGCTTGCTGTAGCAGAGATAGCAGTAGCAGCCTCTGCTGCCGTGTTTACCACAGGTCGACCAGGTGCCGCCAAAGCTGAACTAGCTGATGCTGGAGAGAGGGGGACATCCCACTGAAATCGAGTCTCTCGCTCCGCGGCAAGAGCGCTCAGCAGCCTGCTCACACGGTCAGTGCGTCAACGATCAGAGGGGTGAAGACCGCTGACTGGTTCGTTTGGGAATACACTGATTCCTCCCGCTGACCATCAGGGGGAGGCACTCCAGCCCCCGTAACATTCTCCCCCTCTGGGTAGGCGCCCTCCTCCCTATTGTCGGCCTCAGCACCTTCTGCTCGCCCGTCACCAAGAACCATGCCCGATCTCCCAGGACCCACATTGACCTCTTGGTAACCCTCAACCGAAGTCGACAGTTGATCTTCACCATCCTGTACCAGCAGGAAGCGCTGTAAGCCCCTATCCAGAGGACCAGAAAGCTGTGATCTGTCCGTGGCATCCAGTATGGAGGCGATGTGGTCGCCTCCACCACGCCGGACTGGGGAAGGCCTCCGCGTTGTGTGCGACCAGCGACACCCGTCTGGGTACTGATGGCTTAAGTCGGTGATCCCTCCAGGCATCCATCCGTTGAGCATACTGTCTAGTCACAGGGCGATTGCTGAATGTGGACGCCAGCATGAATCGAGTGGAATCAAGTGGATAGCAGCGAAGGTGGTGGTGGGCAAGGTGCATGCGCTGTGGTTCCACTAGTGGGTGACTGTAGGGGACCGACACAGTCAATCATCACCTAATCGACTGTGCACACTCGATTTAGAGATAGAATAGCTTTTAAAATACAGGTAGTTCTACTCGTACTCTGTTACCTAATCCATCAGGTTGAAAGATGTGCAAGCCCGTAGAGAAACTCTCCATCTTTCCGTCAGCGCGATGTCATCGGATCTGGAGGAATACAGCTCTATGCTCCTCTTCAGCTCCAGCAGCTGACGAGGAGTCAGTCGACAACGGGGCACAGGCAAGTCGACCGTGTTGAGACGGTGTGGCAATTCGTCTCCTCGAGAAGGAGGCTCAGTTGACGAGTTGAACCCAGGATTGGGTATGATACCTTCGACAGAACCGGCTGCTGGTATCTCTCCTTCAGCCCTATATCGTTGAGGATCGCAAGTATATTGCGGATCCTCGCCCATATCCATGTCGATGCCTCTGGCTCCGGACTCGATACAGCCGCTGATGAAGAGATCGACCGGGCGACGGTTGCCTTCAGCCAGCGACAGGGTGTGAAAGTTCCACTGATTCTGAAACTGCGTTGCATCGTCATTGATGTCCGGCAGGAATAGCCACTGCAGGAGCCAGAGGTGATCTTTGTTCAGCGGGTTGAGGCCGTGACGATCCTCCAGTCCGTTGAAGAACGCGGCCCACTTGCGTACGAATGCCTTCTTCACATCGACCCACATTCACTCGATCTGGGTATTGTGGACTGATAAGCCCCATATGTACGAGCCTCTCCCCATACCTCGATGTTGAACCATCCATTCCGCGACTCGCACGTTTTCCGAGCCATGATCTCCCCTGACTCTGGATGGTGTCCCAAAATCTTCGTGGGCAGCGAGAAAGACTTGCAGTACCGTGTCGGATCGGTTATTGTTCCCCACGGGAATGGCGACCACACATTTGAGAATAGCCATCAACAAACGCGTGCGTCCACAGCTTCCATCGCACAAGGGCATGCTGGCCATCGTGGTGCCAGAGACTGTTGGGGCCAGCAACACGATATGCTCGGCAAGGGATAGATGCCTTTCTGAATGTCGACAGTGTGAGATCAAACCGACGCAGGGCGGCAGTGAGGCAGGCTAGCTGAATGTAGTGTCCTCTGGAGATGAGATGTCCATTGAGCATACGTCTTCCGCTATCTCGAAAGGTGGAGCGCCAGTCACACACTATGGTATCCAACTCTTCGTCAGTGAGCATCACCTTTCGTCGCAGTCGGCCCGTCCAGCATGTGCAAGTCGTGCCATCTTCGAGGACGATAGACTGGGAAGGAGGGGAACCAGGTGCGCAAATTGCATAGTCGACAAGTCGTCACACTATTGTTCTCTCAGAGACACTGAGAAGTCCAGCAGATGCAGCCTTTGAAGAGTATAGATACATCCCCCTCAACATTTGAGCATCGATTTCGAGCCGAGGTCGACCGGCCTTGGCCATATGTCGAGTTACAACCTGTGGTTTCGCTCTGGGGATGTTGTCCACTGGCTTAACCATGGACTGGTCTATCTGGTCAAGCATGTCTCTGACTTGCGTCTCGAGTCTTGCAACGTCGACAGGGTCATAGAGAGACAACACCTAGTCAGTAGTTAGCAGATTGACACACCAGAATAATCACATGATACTCACGGGCTGCACCTCGTTCCAGAATGCGACGATCTTGCTACGAGCGTTCTGCAACCTAGCAGGCTCTCCGGCGTAAACTCGGAGCTCAATAATGACATTGTCCTTCAGGGCATCAAAGCAGTCCACAATGGCGAGAGCACCCTCATCAGGATGAGATTGACAGGCAGCACTGTTGATGAGAGGCATGATACGGGTCTAGCAGAGATTGCAACGGTAGAGGATGAACCCCCCGCGCAGAAAATCTAGTAGGATGCCAGATCTTGGGATCGGTTTTGGTTTCTCTCTAACATTGTATATATATGGAAACACATTATTATTGAGAAGCACGCGATTCGAGCAAACAGATTCTGTCTGGGGTGAAAAGGAAAATTCGCGGTTATGATGTACAAGCTATATCTAAGCCACTGCCAGGCAAAACAAACCAGTGCGCCATGCTTTGGTCGCACTGTGCCACACATCCTCCAAGATATCGCAAGCGCGGTCATCGCGTCATACACCGTATCGACAAAGTGAGCCCCAGCAAGGCGCGAATGGTATTCGGCAAGGCCCATCTTTTCGCCATGCTTGGAGGCTACCTTAGGTGACGTCCTCGGGGAGGGCATCAGGATATCCTTGTGATGCTGCTTGAATCCATCGAAGGCTTCCTCGAGGCATGAGAGTGGCAAATCAGTGAGCTGAAACACAACATCGACAAGCTCCGCTCCTTTGAAGAAGCTTTGCAGGCGCAGGAGAAGCATCGGGTCGTAGGTATCGTAGGAGATAAGTCCGACCTGTGAGTCGAACATGACATGATCGAATGGTGCTTCACCAGGTATGTCAGTGAGGTGATGATTGTCTGTGCTGCCCACAAGAGGTCTCCCTGCAACGTTGGATGTGGTGAGGTGATGATTGACTGTGCCGTCCGTGAGGTCACCTCCTCCAGCTTCAGAGGAGATGAGGTGATGATTGACTGTGTCGTCCTTGAGGACAGCTTCTCCAGCTTCGGAGGAGATGAGGTGATGATTGACTGTGCCGCCCACAAGAGGTCTCCCTCCAACATTGGATGTGGTGAGGTGATGATTGACTGTGTCATCCCCCTCATTTCCTCCTCCTACATCAAAGGTGTTGAGGTGATGATTGACTGTGCCACCCAAGGGGGTTCCACCATGGAAGGTGTCAGGTAGCATGATAAAACTGAAATGTGAAGACTAAGATATAGGTCAGTTAACAAGACAGCAATGGTTGTAGGGGATATGCATGCCTTGGATACCATGCTCATTGCTCTTGACAGGATGACAATATTGAAGATACAATGAAAGTGGTTGTTTACTGTGTGATATGAAATGCTTCCAAACTTTGCATTGCCCCACTGTCAACCTCATGTGTTGTCCAAAAGGGGACAGACAGAAGCAATGTCCATGCATGGCATGGAAGAGCCAAACCAATAGAGTTCAACAGCAAATTCTTTGTTCTCCTTCTGTCAGCTTGAGAAGCACTGTAGAGACAAGCAGTAGAAGAATAACGGCCACATCATTGATGGTGAAATAAGTGCCCAGAATAAGGTATGGTGATTCAGCAAGAGGTTGTCCTTTGCAGGAAGCTCCCCACTTAGTAAGTAGGTGAGAGTTCCCCCATGGCACTAAATGAAGGTTGGTGTTAGGGCAACACAGGCTGACTAAGTCTGCTCACCTAAGAGTGCCAAGAGTCTA